TAAGGGATACCCAAGATAAAGTAAGTAATAAATTGATCCTATGTATAGGATTGGCCTACGGGTGTGTTCGGTAGTCCTTGTGGATAGCCGGTTGAATTATGGAAATAAGTAAGGACCATGGCCCTTCCCGACTCTAGAGAGCGGGGTTGGATAGCATGGACTTACATCGTGATCACGGGTTAGGGTGGAATCCGAATCAGAGACCTAACTAGGTTCCGGTAGCGGTAACACATAAGATAGGACCCCGAAGGGCCTTACCTTCCTACGGGATGATGGGTATGAGTCCAGGGGCGGGATGTTGGAGTCCGAACCGAGAGCCTCATGAGGTCTCGGACAGCGGTAGCAAGTCCCGTAGAAATAATAAGACCCAAGGGTTGGGTTGTGCAAATGATAAATGCAAAGGAATATATAAGAAGGGCCGTGTGCCGACAAATAAATGAATTTACTTATTATAAAGATAATAAGTGGGAAATATAATTTAGTATTTATATTATGATATCACCCTATTTTGAGGGTCTTGGAAATTAAAACGTTGATTATACTTAGTATAGTTGCTATTGTACTTGTCAAATGCTTCCAAGTACTGACCTCCCCTTCACGGGGGAGGCCACCTCACAGTTTCAGGTAGAACTTGAAGGTTGCTACCATTGCTCGTTGCTTCGGGAGGATCAAGGGAAGAAGACGTGGTTCGTGCTTCTTCCGTTCTGTTTTAAAAACAATTACGTTAATGCTCATGGATACTATTTTCTGAATAATTACTTTGGGGGGCTTGTACGCCTAGTTATGCCAAGTGTGGCTTGAACAATTGTATTAATGCTTCCGCTATTTTAATTGCATGTTTTACATTATGTTTGTTTATGGATGTACTATGTGTGAATGATATTCATGACGCCTTGTATAGTATGGATGAGTTGAACTGTGGTTGACTATTCGTACTGTACGGCGGGTTGTTGACGTGTCCGGCTAGGCCCGGGGCGTGACATCACCGTACCAAGTACGACGTCACATCCAACAGCCGCATTAAATGCGGCCACATGCGATTGCCAGCGCCAACCAGTTGAGGTGACCCCTCGGCCAATGGATGCTTGACATGTGTCCCTATCTGGCATTTATTGCTACTATAAATAGCACCTCATTTCCCCGTTGTAAACCACGCTGAAAACGCTGAATACACTTTCTAATATATTCTCTCTCTCTACTTATTTGCTCTGACTTCTCTCTAGTTATTCCTCGTAATAACCCCTCGGATAAGCTACCCCCCGGGTACACTATCCATCGTTTGGTGCTCTCGTTGAGAGGTCGAACAATCAAGTAAGAAACCCTCCCCCTCGACCAAACACAAAACACCTAGCTAAAATGGTGAGAACAACTCGTGCCAACTCCAAGAATGTAGAGGACAAGAACCTGGCCCTCGGCGAGGTCGACGTCCCCGAAGCCTCTAACAGGGCTCCCGGTGGTGGCGTCATCGCCGGGTTGGACCAGACGTCTGTCGACCTACGCCAGCAGATTCAACAGAATGCCCCTGATGCCCACCTCGGCATCGAGGCCAAGAAGAAGGACCAGAGCGAGAATCAAATTAGCCCTCCGGTCATCACAATCGACGTACAATCGGCGCTCTCCGCCTTCATCCAGACGCTCACCCAGAACCCGGGTGCCTTCATCACTTTGGTTCCCCTCCAACCTCAGGTCGGGGAGAATGTTATGCCTCCCCCTCATCCACACCCCCTCGGGAACCCGGTCCTCCGGATTGGGAACTCCGAGGGGGTCATGGCCCAAGATACGGCCTCCCAGGAAGTCCAGTCCCGGGACCGCCACAACGTGAACAAAGGACAACTCCGGACCTCCGCCCTCGAGAGACTCGGAGGGGCGCAAGACCGCCGAGGGGTCCAAGACCGCCGAGGGGGGAAGGCGTTCCAGAGGCCTCAGGAAAGTGGTGGATCCGTCTCCAGGGCCAATGAAAGGCATCCCCCTCAGGACAAAGGCAAGGCACCTCTCCATGCCAACGACGCCCGCCACCAAATCAACCAGGCCCACTCGGCCCGCGTCCATTCGCAGGGGGCGGAGGCCATCCCGAAGGACCCCCGGGACGAAATCATTGCGGTCCTCCAGCGCCGGCTTGACGAGATGGAGGTCACCAAAGCCCACGCCACCACTTCTGCCCCTCATACAGACCTCAAGTATGAGGCGATGTTGGCCAAGATGGAGGAAATGCAGAAGAAGATAGCCGAGGGCTCCGGGGAACCCACCATACAGCTCCGGACTCGGAAGCCATTTACCCCAAGGGTATTGGCGGGCCGAATCCTGGAAAAATACCGAGGGCAGCTCATCAAGCCCTACGACGGAAAGACTGACCCCCAAGAGCACTACAACAGGTATCAAAATAGCATGATGATGGTGGGGGCATCGGATGAATATTTGTGCCGCTGGTTCCTCTCCACCTTATAGGGGCCGGCTTACGAATGGTTCAATCGATTGCCCGAGGGCTGCATTGACTCATGGCAAGAACTCGCCCAGCGATTCTTGACGCAATTGATTCCGAGGGGGTTATAACCTTCCCGGTACTCTTCGGCGACGGGCTCCATAGAGCCAAGCTCGAGGTGGAGTTCGTCGTCGTCAACATCGACTGCGCCCACAACATCATCCTCGGTCGGCCAGCCCTCGAGGATCTCGAAGCCGTCATCTCCATGAGGCACCTCTGCCTCAAGTTCCCAGCCGAGGGGGGAATCAGTTACTCAAGGGGGAACCAAAAGCTTGCCCGCGCTTGCTACATTCAAGTGACAAAGAAGGTCAGCAAGACGGAGTTCCGCGTTGACACCATCACCGGAACTGTGGAAGCGGAGGAAAGGAGGCCGAGGGCTGAACCAGCCGAGGAGGTAGAAGACTTCGCACTCGATCCGGCCAAGCCGGAGAGAGTCGTGAAGATTGGAGCCAAGCTCCCTGAAGATTTGAAGACCGGCATCATCATCGCCCTCCGCGCCTACTCCATTGTTTTTGCATGGGGCCAGAGGACATGCCGGGGATCAGCCGAAGGGTCATCACCCACCGCCTCTCGGTGGACCCTTCGGCCAAACCAGTACAACAGCATAGGAGACCCCTCTCGGCCGAGAGGAGGGAATTTGTGAAGAAGGAGGTCGCCATTCTCCTCTCTATCAAGCACATCAAGGAGGTAAAGTACCCCTCATGGCTGGCAAACGTAGTCCTCGCACAAAAACCGCACTCATTCCGCATGTGAGTGGACTACACGGATCTCAACAAGGCATGTCCCATGGACCCCTTCCCTTTGCCGAATATTGATCAACTTGTGGATGAAACCGCGGGGTGTGAAGTCATGTCATTCCTCGACGCATTCCGCGAATATCATCAAATATACATGCATGAGGAAGACGCCGAAAAAACAGCCTTCATGACTCCCGAGGGCATCTTCTGCTACCTTGTCATGGCCTTCGGCCTAAAGAACTCAGGCGCCACCTACACTCGGATGGTGGCCAGGGTATTTCAAGCCGTCCTAGGGCGCACCATGGAGGCATTGTTAGTATATATGTCCTAGCGACAATCACCTTTTAGAGATATATGTACTTGATCACATTCAGTTTTATATATTTGATATATACGGTATTACACATTCATGATTAAGTATTTCGATTGTCAATATCTTATTCATAATTGTGTTCCCTTGGACTTATGTTGTCAATAAGTAAGTGGGAGCTTATATGATATAACATAAAGTCCTAAAATAGCCCCAATCAATGATCATCAAGAATGGGATATTGATGATATGCGATAAGATTGGTATGTGGATTGCATCATACTTTTAGAAAGTATAGTTGATCTCACAACTATGAGTTCATGTAATTCATGACGGTCACATAGATATTTTAGAGAATATTGGCATACCCACCGAGAAACCATTTGATAAGTTCTATTCATGTGTCTATGGGATTATCGGCGTATAGAGTAGTGTAATAGTCCTCCGACTTGAGGTCAATACGTACTACATGTGCGGAGTGACGTACTTTGACCATGACCAACGCTTGCACTCCAATCGGGGTAGATACGGCATGTGTTGGGTGCATCACGAAGCACATGGAGTAGTAGTTGAGCCAAGAAAGGATTCATTCCTCATAATAGATTAAGAGAGAGCATTCTACTTCTCATATCTAGATGGATCATAAAGTCATTGGCCAATGCAAAGATATATTCGTTTTGGATATCGAATATGATCGTTATGGATCATCTAGAAAGATTGAGAGACAGAGACTGAGTTATTGGGATAGACACAATATCATGTTCTAGACTTAGTTGAATGTTCGTTTGAATGAAAGGACCGTATCACTATGAGCTCTATATTACAGGGAGTTTGTATAGTCCTCACAAACGTCCGTATATATTAAGTTTGTTTGGAGAATCGTCTAGGGATTCGCTAAGACCTTAATTTGATTAGTGCTTAATATATAAGGCCCTATGGGTCACACAACAAGTGATTATACCTTTCGATTGAATTGTTAGAAGGAATTAAATATTATTAATTGGATAAAATAATATTTAATTTGTAATACTGAAAATGAATTAAATATTAATTAGATTAAACATATTTAATTCATGAAGCTGAAGGAGAGTTCTATTTGATAGAATTAATTAAGTAAGATAAATTTGATTTATCATACTTAAATAAGATGTATTTATTATTAAATAAAGTAGATATTTTCTTTTGTAATTTTGAATTAAAAGAAAAGTAAATAAAATAAATATTAATATATAATAATTAGAAAGTGGCGTGCGGCCACGTCTCAATTATTATTATTATTATTTGGTTTTGTTTTATCTACTTATTTAATTAATAAGGAGTATTGGTCCTGTTAGGATTAGAACTCATTAATGAAGAACACTTTCATTGTGATTGGGAAACTAGTTTAGAACTAGTATAAATACACCCTCCTCTTTCATAATTTAAAAGACCAGTTTTTAGATTCAGTATTACCAGTTTATTTCCCCGCAAAGAGATTTCCTAGCCTTTCTCTTCTTTCGGAGAGGAGAAATCACGTGGATACCTAAGGTCAAGGATTATCACCGCTAGGCTGGAAGATCTGTAAGTTCTAACTCAGATCTGTTATAATTATCATATTCGTTATTTTGTCATAATCAGGAAAGATCTGTTTGGGAAAATTTTTAAACTTCCGCTGCCGTACTTTCGAGGTACGTTACATCAATTTCCTAACAGTGGTATCAGAGCCAGACTGATTCTAATGACATTATACGAATTATATACATATTTCGTGGATCAAGATACATATTTTTCCTCAGATTATGTGATCGCCGAAATTTTGATTTACGAAGTCGATTTTGATTTATGAAATCAATTTGGATTTTAAATATAGCTTAGATATTTTTTGATTGATATAAACACTCATCGTCTCCTCAAACTACGTTGATTGAGTGTTGCTGGAAGATCTCCGATGTTCGCCCAGGCGGATGGCAACACTTGTGCATCATGACATGCTTGGATACCCTTCGGCAAAGGATGCTGGTTTCTTTGCTGAATTCTGTGCAGAGAAGGATCATTCGCTGCTGCCCAAATTTGAAGATTATACTTCCTGATTGAAATCAAGAATTAGAATAAAATCAAGGATCCAACTGCAATTTTATTAAAGTCCTAGACTTTGTAAACGTTTAATCAGATTGAAACTTGATATACGGAGCACTAATCTATAAGAACTCATTTTTTAGCGGGAGACTAAATACGTGTTAATTTGGGTGTATAGTAATAAAACATAGTGTTTGGTTATAGTACACCGTAATAATTAAATTAAACCAAGTTTGTAATTAATTGGATTAATGATCATAAAGATGCAATAAATTTAATTTAATAAAATTTTGACTTTAACCGATTGTTTTACTTCGTATTATTAGGCGTGTTTTTACTTTAATTGTTGAATTGTATTTGTTTATATAAATTAGATTTATATTCCATGCTTAATTTTATATGTTCGAGTTAGATCTCGTTAACATATTATTTGATAATATATTTTAGCATCTTAAATAACTTAATTTAATACCCCGTTAAATGTTCCCCATATAAATTAAAATTTAAGTCTTATCTGGGATAACGACATCACCCATCATAATTAAATTAGTAGAAATGTTTTTTCGTTGAAGAATATTTCACCCAAGTGTTTATTCCATTCGACAAAATATAGAACTAATTTATAGATACATATGTTTGTGATCGTGTGATGGTTTTGACTTACTTAAATTAGCTCGAGTCGCCCAAGTGTCAGTGTTAATTTAAGGATGTCGATCAATTTAAAAATTGATCAACCAAAAGTTGCTTGGACGCAATTGGTCTAGGGACCTACCCATTATATTATTACAGTAATCAGCCCAAGCTGGGACTGTAATAGTATGAATGAGGATTTTGGCCACTATGATTGTAAAACATTTCATGTTCTTTTTATTGGGGTCAAAGAGCATGCAAAATAGTGGGAGCTAAATAATTAAAAGTCCATATTATTTAGTTAACTAAATGTGATCATAGGAATTATTATATGAATTTTAATTCCCGTTCTATTTGAACTTCTTTAGGCTTTTAGGAATGTCGAATTTATCATTGAGAAGTATCTTGGATACATGCAAGCTCACTGGACCAAACTTTCTGGACTGGGAAAGAAATGTGCGTTTAGTTCTTAGACAAGAAAATATTGAGTATGTGTTAGACACACCGGTAGCCAAGATTCCTGATGCTAACTCTCCTGAGTTTGCCACGTTTGACCTGACTGCTCGAGAGAAACACGTCACTGATGCTAAAACTGTGCAATGTGTTATGTTGGCTGCAATGTCTATGGAGTTGCAAAGGCAACACGATAGGATGAGCGCCTTCGAGATGCTTGAACACTTGAAAAGTCTGTTTGATTCGGAAAGTCAGACTCTAGAGTATGAACTTCTGACAGACATTTTCAAGTGTAGGCTTCAAGAGGGTGGCAACGTGTCTGAGCACGTCCTCAAAATGATTGGCTTAATTGAAAGAGTTGCTACCACCGGAATTAAGTTTGAGGATCGTGTCTCAGCTGCTATCATCCTATATTCGCTTCCAAGTTCATTTACTAACTTCATTGTGAATTACAATTTGAACAAAACGAAAGCGACCATGCCTGAAATCCATAACATGCTCAAGTCTTATGAAGCCTCAACCTCTAAAGGAAAGACTGTTCTTATGGTAAGCTCTAATGCTAAGTCTCGTTCTAAGAACAAGAATAAGAAAAAGAAGAAAGGTAAGGTTGGACCTACTCCTACAGCTCTGAAGCCTAAAGGTGGAGGTCATATGAAGCCAAAGGTTGCAAAGGATGTTTGCCTTTACTGCAAAGAGAAGGGACATTGGAAGAGAGATTGTGAGCTGTATAAGGCTAATCTAGCCAAAGCAACAGGTGCTTCAAGCTCAGGTATTTTTATCATTAAATAAATATGTATATAACTAACTCTCATTGTTAAAGTATTAGATACAACTTATGGCTTACACATTTGTAAAAATGTGCAGAAGCCTGAGAAGCAGTGTAGCAGTTGGACTGGGGAAAATTGACCTACGCGTGAAGGTTGGAGCAAAAGTTGCTGCTGAACGTGATAGGATCTTATAGTTTAGATTTGCCCAGTGGTTTTAGATTAGAATTAAATAATTGTTATTTTATTCCTTCTATTACCATGAAGATTATTTCCATTCATATGTTAGACATTAAAAGATTTCTATTTCCATTTTGCTAATAATAATTGTTATTTTTATAAAATGGTGTTGTTGTGGAAATGCTTTTCTTATGAATGGTTAATTATCAATTGACATATTAGATATTAAATGAATAAAATAAAAGGATCTCGATTAAGTAATCAGAAAAATTACTAGCTATCTATGACATTGCAAACTTGGTCAAATTAATGAAACAAGAATAGCAACGTTAAATGAATTAGATTATTTAACACCATTTGCTTTTGAGTCATATGGAAATTGCGAATCTTGTCTTTCAAGCAACTTGACTAATAATCCTTTTCTAGAAAAAAAGATAGCAAGTCAAAGAGTACATAAGTAAAATTTCTGATTTATTTAAAAGGTCAAAGAATTCGGTCATAATGAACTCCTCCAGAACACCTTAGAAGATTGGCGTTTCTGTAAGGAGAAATAGGGCTTTGTTAGATATGGCTAGATCTATGATGAATTCATTCTCTTCCAAACTTTGTTTTGAGGGTACACGCTATAAATCTCAATATACATTCTGAATAGTTTGATTAGTGCAAAATGTACTATATGAGTTATAGTATAATAAAAGACATTTTCTTCACATATTAAATATGGGTTGCCCTACATATGTAAAGAAATGTGCACTAATCAAATTGAAAGCTGAAGTAACATAGAGAATGAAGATTTGTTAGATGGTCTGGCGAAGGATTCAATGGCAGAATTGACTTGAAGAATGTCTCTAGGAGGATATCCTTCAGCTAGTGGGAGTAATGTAGGAATCACCTCGCACCAGCAAGTGATTATTATTAAAGATAAGATGACATGGTTGTCATTCCTTCTGCACCCACTTCTCTTTCTCTGGAAACACTTAAAAGTGTAGCACCAGAAAACTCTCTAAGCATTGGATAGTCCAATGAAAGAGAACCTCTTCACGATCAGAATGAACAGCATGAACAAAACGCAAAACATTCAACTCTGCGGGTCGACTAGGATTCATCATGAACTAACTAGGTTAGGCTTCCTCATGGAGGATCATGATGATGTTAAGATTCCTGATACGGATGAACCTGAGAAGCAATATTAGATGTTGATTCATGGAGGTGGCGAGAAGCCATAAAATCTAAAATGGATTGATGTGTATCAATCAAGTATGGAACTTGGTTGACTTGCCTGTTGGGTTAGACCCATTGGATGCAAAATGATTTTTAAGGAGAAAATTAATGCTGAAGGCAAGGTGAGAACATACAAAGCTAGGCTAGTGGCTAAAGGTTATAGTCAAAGAAAAGGAATTGACTATAGTGATACCTATTCACCAGTTGCAAAACTCAAGTCCATTTTGATTTTGCTTGTTATAGCTGCATAATATGATTATAAGATTTCACAAATGGATATCAAAACCCCTTTCCTTAATAGAAACCTTGAGGAGGAGGTGTACATGGTACAACCTGAAGTTTTTTTTTATCCAAGTCAAATTCTAAATCACTATGTTAATTAGAGAAATCTATTTATGGGCTAAAACAAGCCTTTAGGAGTTGAAATATTAATTTTGATGAAATAGTCAAATCGTTTGACTTCATCAAATGAATAGAGGGTGCTTGCGTGTTTAGAGTGCGCAACAAGGATAGCGTGGTCTTTTTATTCATATATGTTGATCATAGAGAATGATATACCCTCATTGAAGTCAGTGAAAGAATGGTCACCCAAAATCTTCATGAATATCTTTTGTCTATGGTAGACAGAAAGAACTAGTAGAATTTAACTATTCTAGCACTAGTTTCATGTATGATAAGAAAGACTACAATTCATAGTCAGTATATGTTTTTAGTCTCAATGTGATAGTAATGCTGCAAGAGTTGCAAGTAAGAAACTATTGTAAATTCGACAAACTAGAGCCTAGTAAATTGTTTCATTTGATGCAACATAGGTAAGCGTTTAGATACGTTAGTTCCTTAAAGAAATAGGGGTAGTTCCTAGCGACAGTTATCCAATAATTGTTATTGTGACTGTACCGGTGCATTTGCATAAGCCAAGGAACCAAGATGCAAAATAAGGAACTAGAAAATACCAGTATGCTATCGTGTTTTGATAACAAATAGCAAGATGAGAAGTTGCAATAGAATGCCTTCCCATAGAGGACAATTTGGCTCACCCATTCACCAAACCTTTGAGATGCGAGAAACATACTAGACTTTTAAGAGACTAGGTGTTAGACGCATCGGTGATTGGCACTAGGCCAAGTGGGAGATTGTTAGTATATATGTCCTAGCGACAATCACCTTTTAGAGATATATGTACTTGATCACATTCAGTTTTATATATTTGATATATACGGTATTACACATTCATGATTAAGTATTTCGATTGTCAATATCTTATTCATAATTGTGTTCCCTTGGACTTATGTTGTCAATAAGTAAGTGGGGGCTTATATGATATAACATAAAGTCCTAAAATAGCCCCAATCAATGATCATCAAGAATGGGATATTGATGATATGCGATAAGATTGGTATGTGGATTGCATCATACTTTTAGAAAGTATAGTTGATCTCACAACTATGAGTTCATGTAATTCATGACGGTCACATAGATATTTTAGAGAATATTGGCATACCCACCGAGAAACCATTTGATAAGTTCTATTCATGTGTCTATGGGATTATCGGCGTATAGAGTAGTGTAATAGTCCTCCGACTTGAGGTCAATACGTACTACATGTGCGGAGTGACGTACTTTGACCATGACCAACGCTTGCACTCCAATCGGGGTAGATACGGCATGTGTTGGGTGCATCACGAAGCACATGGAGTAGTAGTTGAGCCAAGAAAGGATTCATTCCTCATAATAGATTAAGAGAGAGCATTCTACTTCTCATATCTAGATGGATCATAAAGTCATTGGCCAATGCAAAGATATATTCGTTTTGGATATCGAATATGATCGTTATGGATCATCTAGAAAGATTGAGAGACAGAGACTGAGTTATTAGGATAGACACAATATCATGTTCTAGACTTAGTTGAATGTTCGTTTGAATGAAAGGACCGTATCACTATGAGCTCTATATTACAGGGAGTTTGTATAGTCCTCACAAACGTCCGTATATATTAAGTTTGTTTGGAGAATCGTCTAGGGATTCGCTAAGACCTTAATTTGATTAGTGCTTAATATATAAGGCCCTATGGGTCACACAACAAGTGATTATACCTTTCGATTGAATTGTTAGAAGGAATTAAATATTATTAATTGGATTAAATAATATTTAATTTGTAATACTGAAAATGAATTAAATATTAATTAGATTAAACATATTTAATTCATGAAGCTGAAGGAGAGTTCTATTTGATAGAATTAATTAAGTAAGATAAATTTGATTTATCATACTTAAATAAGATGTATTTATTATTAAATAAAGTAGATATTTTCTTTTGTAATTTTGAATTAAAAGAAAAGTAAATAAAATAAATATTAATATATAATAATTAGAAAGTGGCGTGCGGCCACGTCTCAATTATTATTATTATTATTTGGTTTTGTTTTATCTACTTATTTAATTAATAAGGAGTATTGGTCCTGTTAGGATTAGAACTCATTAATGAAGAACACTTTCATTGTGATTGGGAAACTAGTTTAGAACTAGTATAAATACACCCTCCTCCTTCATAATTTAAAAGACCAGTTTTTAGATTCAGTATTACCAGTTTATTTCCCCGCAAAGAGATTTCCTAGCCTTTCTCTTAGGGAGATCTAACCGTTCTTTCGGAGAGGAGAAATCACGTGGATACCTAAGGTCAAGGATTATCACCGCTAGGCTGGAAGATCTGTAAGTTCTAACTCAGATCTGTTATAATTATCATATTCGTTATTTTGTCATAATCGGGAAAGATCTGTTTGGGAAAATTTTTAAACTTCCGCTGCCGTACTTTCGAGGTACGTTACATCAATTTCCTAACAGGCATATGTTGACGACATGATCGTCAAGAGCAAGCAATCAACAAGTCATGTTGACGACCTGAGGGAGATCTTCGCCATCATGCAGAAGTTTAACCTTCGGCTGAACCCAAAGAAGTGTACCTTCGACGTTCAGGGGGCAAATTCTTGGGCTACATGGTGAGCCGAAGGGGTATCGAGGCCAACCCCGAGAAAATCCAGGCCATCATCAACATGGAGCCCCCACGCAACGTAAAGGAGGTCCAACGATTGACGGGCCGCCTGACAGCCCTCAATCGCTTCTTATCAAAATCGGCGGAGAAGTCTTTACCCTTCTTCCAGATAATGAGAAAAACCGCCGGTTTCCAGTGGACTTCAGAGTGTCAGGGGGCCTTCGAGGAACTGAAACGGTACTTATCTTCACCCCCTGTGCTCTCTAAACCCAAGGTGGGGGAGATCATGTACCTTTACTTGGTTGTTAGCCTGACAGCCATCAGCTCAGTACTCATCCGTGAAGAGGATGGCATCCAACATGCCATCTTCTATGTTAGCAAGACCCTCAGGGAAGCGGAGCTCCGGTACTCCCCCGTGGAAAAAACGGTGTTGGCTATCGTGTGGACCGTCAAGAAGTTGGGCCATTACTTCCAAGCTCACCCGGTCCAGGTCCTCACTCACCTACCCCTCGGCGCCTTGATGAGGAGCCCCACCAGCTCCTCCCGAATGGTAAAATGGGCTGTCTTCTTGAGCCAATACAACATCGATATCCGTCCTAGGCCCGCCATCAAGGGCCAAGCCCTAGCGGACTTCGTGACGGAATGTACGGCAAGATCAGCCGCGGACGAGGAGCCCTCGGCCCCTTCGGATGATTGGTGGACCCTCTACACCGACGGCTCCTCCGCTGTCAAGGCATGTGGAGGAGGGGTGGTTATCATCTCACCTGAGGGCTTCCGGGCCTATTACGCAGTCTGCTTCTCCTTCAAAGTCTCTAACAATGAAGCCGAATATGAGGCCCTCCTCTGTGGCCTTCGACTGGCAGCTAACATGAAGGCACGACAGATCCTCGTAAAATGCGACTCCAAATTAGTTGT